GTGACCAAGTTAGTTGCCTGAACTAAATCCCACAGAAGATCTATGAATGGAGCTTAAAAATAGAGTTCATCAGAGGAATGCTCAAAATTTGATCAATTTTAATGTAATTTGTCAGCAGGAGCGGAATAAAATTGGAGTTAATGTCTGTGAAAAACTTATTTCAAATTATTCTAAACGTCTGACAGCTGTCATAGCAAATAAAAGGTACAGTATTAAATATTATATGTCGTTTATTGATGTGTCTCTAAAAATTTTGTACCTTTTTTGTTTTTTTGCTGAATTTACATAAATTTTGTGGAGACAAAAAATAGAGATAGAATATCCTTAGTATTAACTTTGTACAACACAATTGTTAGTTTTGTAGTCAAATTTTAAAAAATACTTTAAAAAAATAACTTCATATATATATATATATATATATATATATATATATATATATATATATATATATATATATGTGTGTGTGTGTGTGTGTGTGTGTGTGTGTGTGTGAAAATATATAGAAAATAGGAAAAAACTCGTTAGGTAAATAATCCAAAAGTTCTTTAGTATTTTTTGTTATTATTTTAAAAATAGTGCTCGATACAAAAGTAGAGCATAAATATAATTATTATTTATTTTATTTGCGTGTTGGAATCATATTTTAAAATTTTTTAAATCATATATATATATATATATATATATATATATATATATATACCACTCAAACTTCAGTACCATTTTATAAAGACCACTACTACTTTCTTTATTAATATTGTTGTTACCAGTTTATACACCTACAGAAAATAACTATTACTGTTTTCACTATCAATATTGGTATTACCGCAATTACTTCGTGGCTTTTTCTAACACCATTAGTACTGCTTTTTACCATTGTCATTGTTTTCATTATTATTGTTATTATTATTAATTTTTTATTTTTTTATTATTGCTATTTTCACTATTATTATCATGATCACAACTATTATCATAATTACCATTGTCATGATTGTCACATTTTTTTAACATTATACTTTCGTTTCCATCATCATTACGACTAAATTTTCCGTTAACACATCAATAACTATTATTACCAATTATAATATCAACATAGTCACAATCATCAATAATAGACAGTCAGTATTGTTAAATAAAAAACATCATGATTGCCATGTCCTCAAACAGAACCCACTTAACCAATATGGCGATGATAGACCCAGACCAATAAGAGTGTATGCGCACGTCTACATGTGTGTATGTGTGTGTGAGTAAGTATAAATCTGTTTGACGACGCAGGCGGCTAATCTGAAAAGATTCAAGAACACCCCCACCTGCCCCTTCCAAAAAGAACATCGCTACATATTGTTCCGACACTGAAATAGGATTACAATTGCGTATGTATGTATGCTCGGCCGTATGGATGTGTATCTGTGCCTAATCTAGGATTGTTTATATAGCTGTGTTTGTGTGAACTATAATGCGTACACGTGTATGTATGTCTGTCTGTGTGTGTGAGAGTGTCATCCCAAAACGGACACAGGGGAGAAATTCACCCTCCCACCACCAAACATAATCAAACACAAACAAGCATAAATAGATTCAATTTAAAAAAAAAAAAAACTAGTTTGTCTGATGATCGCAAAAGCGTGAAACCCAGGGACACAAACTCATATCTCGTATGACTGAGTATGTATATATATATATATATATATATATATATATATATGTGTGTGTGTGTGTGTGTGTGTGTGTGTGTGTGTGTGTGTGTGTGTGTGTTTCAAAAATATATACTCATCTTGAAGCTACATCATGAAATAATTCATGCAACTAGAACCATCTATATCCAACTAGCAGCATGGCCCGGCGTTGCCCGTGCTTGATTCAAAAATCGTACGACTCATACAGCAATCGCTATCAGTTGACTTTATATTTTTGCTCTTCCTTGCCTTTAAAGGAGTGCCCTTTGCCGTGCTGATGTTGCTACATGCCTTACTTCTTGCCTATCTGACACTGCGAATTTTTTCTAAGCTCTATACTAAACATTAAATCTGTTACGAAAAAAAGAACTAAACAAAATGAACACAAAACGATCAGCTTTAAAAAAGGACTCGTAACTGGAAAAACCGAATGAAAAAAGAATTTTAACAACAAATACTTTTTCAAACCCAACCCAGTACTGCCGAATCGGAATCAACGTTGAGTAAGCAAGCGAATGAGCCAATTGCAGTAAAGTGCCATGCAGATTTAAATTTTTTCCACTCGTGACGAATGCAGCTATCGATTTTTTTTTTTTGCATGCTAGCATGCTAGTTAACATTCGTGTCAGTCAGCTGTTGGCTCTCACGCTGGGCAATAGAATCGTCCTGCCAATCGTGGCAGCCAGCTATAGGCTCTCACTCTGGCCAGTAGAAAATGGCCGCAAACTACATGAAAACTGCCGTAGAAACATGAAAAATCGATTATTTCCACTATCGATGGGAGTTGGGAATTGCAATGTCGGTCTTGGCCTTGCCGCTTACTTGGAGCATGTGCATGTAAATCTTGGTGCAAATACGTCGAAAATTGCGGCCGTGCATTCGTTACACACACACACACACACACACACACACACACACACACACACACACACACATCCTGCCTTTTATAGATAGAGATTTAAATAATGCATATGAAGACAATATTATTTATAAATACAGGCTCATGAGATTTTCTAATTGATGTCCGTTATGATTCAGACATTGTTGACAACGCGACGCAGTTATATAGTAACCAGCAAGCAATGTTTCAAGAGGTATTTTGCTTCATTCTGGTCTTGAAAACTTTCATTCCGACAATTGTTGGCTTTGTAGCGTAGACTTCACCTTTAAGTATCCCCAAACAAGGAAGTCTAAAGGGGTGAAATCCGGTGAACGAGGAAGATGCAAATGTGTGTCTATACATTTGTGTCTATACATTTTTTGAGACAGCCTATATGTAGGGGGTTAGAAAAAAGAAAGAGAGAGAATATGGAGGGGAATAGTGAAAAAGAGTCAGAAAACAAAATCTGAGAACTCAGTTCGAATTCTTGATCGCGCCATGTTGATCTTCACTTTCATTGTAATGCCCTTAACGAAGTCAAAACTATATCTGTTGCGCTGTCTACTGATGCACTTCCGTAGTCGTCCATTAAAGACGAATCCCGGAAGTGGAACAAAAGGTTTTCAGCGCCTGGGAGCGAATATAATTTTGACTCCCGTATATGAGTTACACCTGAAATGTTTTAAGATATGATTTGAGGCTTGATTAAACTTTGTAATACAATAACAAATAATCAATTACTTCTTTACTCAGGCCAAAAATTAAAATCCCAATATCATAATTGTAAAACTGGAACTAACTGAATTAAAAGTCGGTTCACTATGTTTGGAAAGACAATTTTTTTCTCTCCAGAATCTATCTAACATATCTCTAAGTCTACAATTCGTCCATGCTTAGACTATTGTTGCCACAAATAGTCCGGTGCCACTGATATTTACATTGATCTCCTGAATAAAATCCAAAGAAGAATCAGCAATATTATTGGTCGTGATCTGGCAGCTTAGCTCCAATCACTTACCCACCACCGTAAAATTGTTTCTTTACGTATTTTCTATAAATACTTTCATGGTAATTGTTCAGATGAGCTCTTTGCTATGGTACCTTGATTTTTTTTTTAATTTAAACGCAGTACTGACATCTTGATCTCATCAAATTACAGTTGATCTGGCTAGATGTAGCCGTAAATTCTCTGCTAGCAGTTTCTTTTCTCGCACTTCTCGCTTGTGGAATTCCCTTCCGGCTCCATACTTTCCAGCCAACTTTAATCTGCAAATAGGTAAATACAATGTTAATCGCTATCTACTGTCCATGTGATTACTCTCTTCTCTTTCTACTCATCATTAATGTTTTTGTTCCTAATTCTTCCACACCCTGTAACCCATTGTGTTTTATTTGCGTTACTGCCTTGCTTTGGGTGTTATCGATTAAAAAAAAAAAAAAAAAACATCCACATACCTAGTCTACTTAGATAAGTTGCAACGCGTTTTGAAATTCATGTTATGCAGTAATGTTATTTTCCAGTGTAAGTGCTAGTGGAAATTAAGTACACATTTCTATTTCCGAATTCTGGAATTAAATTTGAAGGTTATTCTTTTGTATTTGTTTATGAAACAGACATAAAAAAATAGATTTTATAGATATACTGAGAAAACTGTGAGATTATGTAGCTATGAATCCTCATGGCTACATAATGAACAGACAAAATTTTCACGCCAGGCGGATATTTGCGCCTCTTTATATCTGCGCTCAAGGGCAACTGTCCCCACTTTGCTACGCCTCTGATAACTCCCAGGTTGTCGAATAGAAATTCATGTCTCATCGAAAGTTGTTTCTTTATTATGCCATCACGCTAACCTAGCTTACTTGTCCGGTGGCATTTAATCCGTGAAGTGTAGATAAACAGCAACAATAAGATTAAAAAGCAAGCGAAATTCGTTATTTCAAATGATTTTTGAAATAGCGAATTTCTCCTTTAGTATTTCGCTTGTTCTGTTGCTGGCTTTGTAGCGAGGACTTGATTTTTTAAATATCCCGACACGAAAATGTCCGGTGAACGAGGAGGATATACAAGTATTTATACATTTGGGTTTATACATTTTTGTGATACACATGGAGGGAGAGACAAAAAGACAGAATATGGAGATGTCAGTCGATTCATTTTCTACGGCTTATCCGCCATTTGCAGGTTATTTAAAAATATTTAGAAAAATATTTTTAGATTGTAAGAAATGTTTTGGAGATAATAATGGTTTAGTGATACAAGTGTTACTAATTAACCCATAGCTGGGGGGAAGTAGAGGTGAATTCCTACCGCTCCGAAGAGGTGGATTCATACTGTTCTGAATGGTATTTGAGCGTAAGGGAATATAACAAACTGAACTGGAACTCGGCTCTCCGATTAACAATTCCGAGACATTATCCATTACACCACCCGCACGTCCAAGATTACAGCACCTGGTATTCCCAAGCGGTTAACCATATTAGGAACTGAACAGTCCCGTCTTTGCTTAACTTTTGTGATCGTACGGGAACCGATGTTTCACCGTTATCTGGTCGTAAGAAACCGGTTTTTTTAATTTTATTACTAAATAGTAATACTACATGAATATGTTTTATTGGAGCCGTTGTACTGATGAAATGATAATTCCAGTGTATTAATGAATGGCAGGAGGCTTTATTTCTTATATTTGACATTGCATTTTATTTTACTCTAGTATTTCGTAATTTAGTTCTAGCCAGTGCGCACGCGCGCGCGCGCGTGTGTGTGTGTATGTGTGAACCCTTGAAACCCTTTATCCGAAAATGGGTCTTATATTGTCGTCTACGATGTCAGTGAGATTTCCTGAAGTGGTTGTTTATATATCTATCTCATATCAGTGCATTCCTGTAAAATAGGGATTTGAGGTCACATCATCCTGCATTCGGCGGCCGGGCGGGTCATCTTATTTCAACTATGTAGTTAGCTCCTTTGGCGGTGTTGGTTGTGTAATAGCGAGTCAAATTCTATTCTGGCACTACAACGTAAAAGTTTTAGCGTGAATAGTAGCAATATAACTGTTGATTTATAACTCGTCTTGCCACATGATTCTGTGGTCAAGTTAGTTCAAGCAGCGTCCAAGAAAGCTTCCTGAGATATCGAATACGAGTTTAATCCTCGTAGGAAGCTGGTCTTTTATTCTGATTTCAATCTTTTTTTTTTTAAATAACGTCATTAAGATCAGAGAACGAGTTAGAAGAAAACGTTAACCGGAAAAAAGGTTCATTTTAGAATAGTATATTTTCCAGCGTTAACATTGTGCCGGTTTTAAAAACACACGCACCAATTTTCGATGCAGAGATTTTAAAAAAGAAAAAGGAATGGAATAACTATAAACAGAACAAAAAGAAAACTTGTGTCGGATGCAAGATAAATTTCCGAGATTTTTTATTTCGGGGAAAAAACTAGCCTTTTCGATGCCTAGATATAATATAATTTAGAAAATTTAAATCTCTTTTACAATTCAAGATTTGACATATTTTATCAATAACCTTTTTGTTTGCGTATCTCTAGCTTCACACGCCTAACATTTTGCAAATTATTTAAAGGATAATGTCGAAATCCAATAGAATGTTATGTTAGTAACGTCTGATAAAAATACGAGAATAAATGTTTCATTTGGAAAGTAATAGTTCATTCCATTCTGGTTTCCGTTGACCGAATTTGGAATTTTTATGAACGTTCCATTCTTATGTGTATGTAAGAAAATCTACCTTCTCCTTCGTGAATTTGGACGTTTATATAACTTTCTCTCATCCCGTTGTTTGTTTGTTTGTTTGTGTGTGTGTGTGTGTGTGTGTGTGTGTGTGTGTGTGTGTGTGTGTGTGTGTGTGTGTGTGTTCGTTCTGAGTTCAGCTGGGTTTATAACCTGTTTATGTTGATGCAGCTACCGGCATCCTTTGGAGTGCGAATCTGTACTTGCTAGATTTAAGTTTACTTTCTAGCCCGACCCCCAAAGCACTTTTGATGTTCTGAGGTGACGCCAAATACAATACTTACTTTGATAGGTCTTATGGTGAATCCAGTACATATTAGTGCCACCCTAAAACCAAAATCTCCTTAGATCAAATGTTCCAGGTGAAAATTAAATTCGGTTTATTAGCGGGAAACAGGCTACCAGCGTGCTAGTTATAAATTCCATCTCAGTGGTATTAGTTTTTCTTGCTTTGCTAAAATGCGATCTCTCTCTCTCTCTCTCTCTGTCTGTCTGTCTGTCTCTCTCTCTCTCTCTTTTCTCAAATAAAGTGGCAAGATTTTAGGATTATTCTAAGGTCAGGATTTCCCGATCAGTTTGTGACACATCTTGCAACAGCATATGTTGAAATCAGTCAATAAAATGTCTTAAGAGAATTCTAATTCTTTGTAAACGTCTTCAAATGCATCGCGGTTATTTTTTTCACGAACTAATTTCATTTTTAATCTAAATGTTTCGGTTGACGAGTCCACCAAACGTCCGCGTACTGTCGAATTTTCTGACAAGATTCGTCATTAATCAAACAGGTTTACTTTTGTTTGATTTTTGTGTGCGTGTGAAAATGTTTTCGCTTAAGCGCTTCCTTGACTTCCGAGTAAAATATCAAGATTTTATTGGATGGAAATTTTCAACTAATAACCTGATTCTTAACGTTTTGGACTATGTGTTCGCCGGTTTCCTGTCTCTTTCCTGATGACCTGAGATGAAGTCATTACTTCACAACTAATATGTTAATTACTTATTAATATCTCATTTAAGATTATCTATCTATCTATCTATCTATCTATCTATCTATCTATCTATCTATCTCTGCCTGTTCATTATCTATCTATCTATCTATCTATCTATCTATCTATCTATCTATCTATCTATCTATCTATCTATCTATCTCTGCCTGTTCATTATCTATCTATCTATCTATCTATCTATCTATCTATCTATCTATCTATCTATCTATCTCTGCCTGTTCGTATTTATCTATCTATCTACTTACCTGGCACAGGAATTCGTTCCTGGACTGGTGGTATCACGGCTATGACTAGTTTAGACCAGTTCTGACCAGCTTGGGCAAGCTATGACCAGCTAAGACCAGCTTGGACCAGCGGCCCGAGTGAAAACATTCGGGTCCCCACGTTAAAAACTGACCTTGTGTCACAACCTGACTCAGTGAGGGGTCAAGTAAATAATCTATCTATCTATCTATCTATCTATCTATCTATCTATCTATCTATCGCTGCCTGTTCGTATCATCTATCTATCTATCTATCTATCTATCTATCTATCTATCTATCTATCTATCTATCTATCGCTGCCTGTTCGTATTCATCTATCTATCTATCTATCATCTATCTATCTATCTATCTATCTATCTATCTATCTATCTATCGCTCCTGTTCTATCTATCTATCTATCTATCTATCTATCTATCTATCTATCTATCTATCTATCTATCTATCTATCGCTGCCTGTTTGTATCTATCTATCTATCTATCTATCTATCTATCTATCTATCTGTGCCTGTTAGTATCTATCTATCTATCTATCGATCGATCGATCTATCTATGAACATATCTGTTTGTGTGTATGTGTTCGTCTTTGTGTGTCATCTCGGATACATCATTCTTTCCAATATCTAATCATTGTCTTTTAAAACTACTTTAACCTGTTCATTATTGCTTTTTATTTTCCTCATTCTTTCCTTGCTAAATTCCATCAATTGTCTTTCTCTCGGTAACTTGTCTCCCCCATAGCGACCACCCACTCCTGCCACTCTGTTCCTCTTTTTCAGTACACAAAAGTTGGCCTTAATTGCTTGGCTTTGTTGCAAAAGAACCAGGAAAAGTGAATGTACTGCTATTTATTTCTTACTGTAGCGTTTTTTTTTTTGTGGGGGGCAAAGAATATGGAGTGAAAAAAAAAATACCACACAGCGAACGGAAAAGAAAATGTCGGCCATTTTGCAAACACTCCGTTTTTTCTGTCGAGTTTTCGTGATGAGGAAAGCGGACAAAGAGCCCGTCATGTCGTCAGCCGCTTGCTATAATTGCATACCGAAGAGAGATTAATAAAAAGCCGACTAATTCCTTTATTCCTCGCTTCAGTTAAGTGCACAAAGATGTATCGGTCGTTATGGAACGTCCAGTGATCATTTTGATATTGTGATCATGTCGTCTTCACGGTGTAACATGTAACATATCCTCCCAGAAATTATTCTTAATCCGTGACAAGAAATGGTATTAATGATACGGCAAAGAATCTTACTCTTGCTAATGAAGTCGGCAAGAGAAACTGTCGAGGAACCTTTTATTACACCTCGTCGTTTGTTTTGTCTCAAACGTTGAAATTGTTATAAGACATTATTATTATTATTATTATTTCTATTCCTAGATTTATTCCATCTTATTATTGTTGCTTTTTATGCCGACATTCTGACTTGGCACGTTTTTCATTATTACTATTATTTTTAAGATTAACCTTGCTATCTGTCTGTATTTCTGAGATGAGGTATTGTAACTATTTACACTATTTACATTGTTCGGACTGTAGTCCTCATATTTATTGTCACATTCATGACGTTTCGGCTGTTGCACACTCCGGCCTTCTTCAGGGCTTGTCTATATTTCTGAGATGAGGTATATTTACTATTTACACTATTTATATTGTTCGGATTGTTGTCATCATCTTTTATGTCAAATCCACGACGTTTCGAACCTTGTACGTTCCGGCCTTCTTCAGGATCTGTCTATATTTCTGAGTTGAGGTATTGTAACTATTTACATTATTTACATTGTTCGGAGTGTTATCTTTATCTTTTTGTCATATCCACGACGTTTCGAACCTTGTACGTTCCGGCCTTCTTCAGGATCTGTCTATATTTCTGAGTTGAGGTATTGTAACTATTTACATTATTTACATTGTTCGGAGTGTTGTCTTTATCTTTTTGTCATATCCATGACGTTTCAGCTGTTGTCCGCTCCGGCCTTCTTTGGGTGATTGGAATTGGATAAAAGCGCTGGTTGAAGTAATCCAGTGACTTGACCCAAAGAGTTGTGAGTTCAATACCTGGCCACAGCAGAGGTAAACAAAAACTTAGAGAGTTGAGTTACTAAAGGGAAATAACTGAAACTGAGATATGTCACATAGTGCTCTTGCAAAGGGTAGCAGCAAAAGTCCGCACTACATTTGTTAGAGCGCTACTCACACCTTTTTCTCACACACACAGACACACACACACATATATGCATGTGTGTGTATATATATGTATATATATATATGTATATATATATATATATATATATATATATATAATTACATGAATCATTCATACAATAAACAAATATAGAGGTTAATGATTTAAATGGCGAGAATGCATCTTCGCAAACAATTTCAATAAGGTACACTAACCCCGAACCTGTATATGAATGATATGATCCCTGTTTATAAATTCCAGTTTCATAAGGTCTTTTTTAGTTTTTACAAGCTTTCGTCTGTTCCTACAGACATCCTCAGGTATGGAAATAGATTTGTCCTTGTTTTTTACTTCTCG